ACGAGGACCGGACGTGCAGCAACACACCACCACGGTCGTTCGCACCAGAAGCACGCGTACGCCTCGATCTGGAGGACTTCCTGGGAGTTTATCTCGGGATTCAACCTTTGTTCAACCAGTCCCAGTAAGTCAACTTGACGAGAGGCATCGAAATGGCACAGAACCTCAGGTTTGTTCATTAAACTACAAATATGAGTGAAGGCTAGGTAAGGCCCACGGTTAGAACCACAGGCGGCGCATGGAGCGTCATCGACCTGTTGAGCTGGATTTGGAAAACCCTGCGAACCATCCGAACATTTACAAGGTGGAGAGTAGTTACCCCCAACAGTACGCCGCTTGATCTCAACGATAGATTTGAGTTTTTCTGGGTTCGTCAGACAAACCAGGAATACACCCTACTAATAGAACATTCAGCGCCTCACCAAACTATGCGGTAAACGATCCTCCTTAATCAACATCAATATAACAATTTTAGGCTGGTAGGATCCAAAATGGATAAATTTATCGTCTGCACATGTCACAGCAGACCAGAGTAGGTGTTCTAAATTTTGCGCTCAACAAACCTTCTTTCAAGATCTTTACCTTCATTTCTGACCTGTGATCCCAGGCTGAGGAAGATATCCGCACTCTTATCTAGAGACAATGCCACAGCAGGGTGGGTCAAAACACGGAAATTTGTTCAAATTAAAATGTTTCCTCAGAAACTGGTGTCATATTGTATGGCGTGCTTAATTTTGTTCCTTTTTTGGTGCAGACTAAGAGTTCTCGTTTGGAGATTTGACGGCGCTCTGCTGCGCGTTCGGGTATGGCCGTTACCGACGCACGAAATAGAATTTCCGACTTAGCATTCCTCTGTAGTATGTCGAAACTCAAAGCAGGTATACACGAGTATAGAAGGTTAAACACAGAGAATGGAGTCAGTTGCATATGTATGAAGGCATTCTGAAGTAAAAAGGATAGCTACCTATATAATGGGGCAGTTATTTTGGTTGAGTAGAATGGCTTGCGTGGGGAAGCTGGGGAGTTGCCTTTCGTTGCCTGACCTCAGTCAATAATAAGAGTTACTTAGCAAATAAGCCCATTGGGCTTTAGATAACAACCCTTCACTGACTGTCGCTAAATTTCAGTCCGGTTATAGGTCTTTCTCGATTTGCAGTATCCCGTTTATTTCTGAGTCAAATAAAACCCTTTGAAATATTGACAAATTAGGCTAGTCACGAGTTTAAGGCATTAAAAGTAACATTCAGCATGCCTCTTATGGGTCAGCTTATTGGAGTTGAATTTGCCCCCTAAATCAGTTTGATCCAGAGGACCTGTTTCCCGGTTACGGAAGCTATCTGGCTGCTACTCCGCTGTAGACCGGTCTAAGTGAAATCTGCATCCACACCCCAGCTATGGGTATTCTCACTTATTTCTGCCATGTTAAATCTACTGTTGTGGCACAGTGGAACGCAAGTCGATAATCGGTTTAGGATAAACTTTTGGTATAAACAGACTAACACAGTGCTGCCAGAAGGAGACGAAAGTGGCTAACTAAGCCAACGCAATCGGTGCGTAAAACAATCAACAATGACAATCATAGCAAAATTACCATCTTACATTACTCGACTGCAGGCTGCCGAAAAGACATGCATCAGGTTTAAATTAAGCCCAAGTATTCACACCAGTTGGAGAAGAAAACAACCATCACTTCGACATCGGCAGTTTACTACTCGCCAGCAATCGCAGAACTATAGGAGTTATATAACCCAGGAGAAGAGAATAAGAAACGATTTTAATGGCCATCCACCCAGGGTTCTTGGAGTCACCTCATTGAGTTTTTCTTTATCATCAACATTATGATCATAAACAGAGGTGTGCACTCTACCGCGAGGTTACATATGCAAATGAACGCTGAAATTCAATCGAATAGGGCAGATTCGTCTGGGTTTGCACAAATCTTGATTGTGTGTCCGGTATGCGTCACAGAAAAGATATTCACAACTGCAGACCGCGGTACTCGAGAGGTACGTGCGTTAAACAGCTACATGCACGTTCTTCTAAGTTCGAGTTTGTAAGATTGAAGGGGAATTAGATGAAATCACCTAGTTATTTTCGACTAGAATTTCTTATTCGAACGGTAGGCAGCAATATTTATGGATGACAAACTGAGTTCTGATTATATATGGAGTAAGGTACAGGTGCACTGGATAAAAGTATCTAATTTGTGCTGTAGGCCATCATTCAAATAGCGCTCGTACGGCCGAGGTAGAGCTGCATGTAACTAAGTAGAGAGTGAGTTTCCGGTTTTTCACCATGCAACCCTACTGGACTCCGTAGAGCAGGCTGTGCTACTGCATGGGACAACAAAGGGTTCCAACAGAACTAGACAAAAATGTTTTGCTGCATAGAGTACTTGGAGTGGAAAAACTTGCACAGCACCGCTCCGTAACTTTTGTTTTAAACTTCCTTTAATGAATCTACTTTCAGCAAAGTATGTCGAATCGAACGGATGGAAGTAACAATGATGGCACGCATACGGTGTTCACTTGCCTGAGCAGTGATCACATCTCTTCGTAGGGCTAACTGAGCCCGTACTGTTTGAACTACGAAGGCATTGCAGAGTAAAGAGAGGTATAGCCGCTCACTTCCATCGCAACTTATTAGTGCATATGATCATTGAAAAGAAAGAAAAAATGGCACTTTTAGACGGATAACTAGTTCAGGGTGTACAAAACAAGTGTTGGAAATAGCGTAAACGTGTTGAAATTGAACAGAGTCATCAATCAAACAAGCACTGAGGTGCCATCTGGGTTGACGCGCGCTTGTAAGGAAACTGCGCCGGCCATAGGGCAATAAGCCCCCTGGCAAATGGACTGATCTGAAACAAAAATAAAGCATTTTTGATGGGGCACGTAGTGCATGAGCTGTTTGCATATATACGCACCAAGATTTGACGTACGGGCAAATGACGGCAGCAAGAATTTACGCTGCTAAGCCCCCACTTTAGTGAACAAAAAGAATGACTTCGCTACTGTACAAAATGGTGTCAAATTTGACCAGATTAGCTATCGGTAGCAAAGTAAGGGATGCGGATTGGTTGCTTTGCTCGGACAGTTTGGTTTGGTCGGTTTTCTACAAACCTTTCGAGGGCTATTCGGTCAAGTTAAGTTGATATACAAACTAAAATTGCCAATAAAATTAATAAATGTTAGCAGTAATGTGACAGGGGTGTCTAATTTTGCTTTCAGTTGATGTACGAAGCACCTGAACGGAATTAAGACTACTGTTCTAAACCCATCGGAGTTGAGCGAAATGTTAATGAGCCAGCGGTCTTTTGAGGTACTAATTCTGAGACAAGAGGAGTGTCCTTAAAATCAATCTACCGCTGATGGCTTCCAAGTCTTTAGTAAACCTCGAAAAATAAGTGTGCCTTATCTGCGACTCGTGTAGAAGAAAAGGCCACGCTACCTGGTTATAATAAGTGAGCCAGAAAGGCCAAGAACACAGCTAGAAACTAAAGTACTTGAAACTCACAGAAAAGATACACTACCACAAAACTGGACCCGTATTTGTTCTGCGCACGACACGTATAATTTCCATAGTCACCAACAAGTACGTTCCGAATGAGCAGTGTTGAGAAGACATCTGTTAACTGTGGAGAAGCAAATGCAGTGAACACCATGGAACATGAAGAGAAGCTTACCACACATTTTTGTGGACTTACGTTTGTACCTGCGGCACCGTAGCTATGGGCTTTCTCCAGTTCATATCTATCGTTATCAAACAGCGGGACGTTATTCGTGATTGGATCGTACACGCCTTTATACCACAGTAGATCTGGATCAGGATAGCCGTTCACTATACACTCCAGAGTGACATCATAATTTCCATCAGGAGCCTAGATTAATGGAAGTAATGTTATGTGGCTACAACTGGAGAATTGTACTGGTGAATGTAGTACAGACATAATGCGTCTGTTTGAGCATTTTACTTACTGTCATAGATAAAAATGTGTAGTGGATGGCTTCCAGGTAGCCAGAAATGTCACCGACTCTAGCGAATACACCTACTTCTGCAGGACATTTGGTCGGTTATGCTTATGAAGATGGTATGAACAGTAAACCAAGGAACATGAAATAGGGTTCTGTGACTGGAACTAAAGTTGTGGACATCAAATGAAGTCTTAAGAAATACTACAATCTCTTCCATTTAAGGATCTCATAGGAATCCAACATGAGTAAAGAGGAGAGACAGGATGAGCCACATTGCTGTGATAACATTAAAGACTAAAAGGTCGCACTGGTCCATAATCCGTAGGTCCGTGAGTGAAGCAACCTGACCCCAGTGCATGGTGTATTCTGATGAGTGATTTGATAGTTATCCGAATGCCAGCTGTTCCGACGCAGGTTAACGTCTAATTTTCAATAGAATTAGCTCTTAGTCACAGTTCAGTGTACTAGTGGCGTTCTGCCACTGTAATCAAGTGGTAGTCGGCAAAGTAAGCCACCATCCTCTGTCAGCATTAACGACCCCTGTATCCTCGACAGCAATGAAGCTAGGTCATTAATCGTTTAATGAAAATTGTCTAACATCAAACTGTTAATGGTGGGGCAACTGAGTGTACAAAAGGGGTGGTCATGAATGTGAAGTATCGCGACATTGATCAGCATATTTTCGGTCCAGCGTTTTCATCTCCCTCACAACATTACACGCATAAGTGTCATTAATTTGACAAAATATCGTTTTAAGTGAAAGCACTTCATGTCATGTTCGCGTAACGCCAAACGTAAGCAAAATTAGGCTATCGATGGACTATTCCGTTTTGTGTTTTACTAGCGCAGTAATCTCATTGCCATGAAGGATTCTGTGACTGGTGCTAGAGTTGGTCCACCTACCTGACCGTATGCACCTCGGAACCTGGCCTCCCTCACGTGTGGTGCATAATTGACTTCCACCATGACATCATACTCTGCGGAGTTGGCCACATTGTTCACTGCGTAACAGCGGTACACTCCTCGATCATAGCGATCCACTTTTGGAATGAACAATGTGGAATTCTTGAATCCAGCAGAACAAAGTGAACAGTGGTCAAACAAAGTAGCAATCATTCGGTTGGTAAAATAGTTCTAAACTAACACCTGAGTATGCAACATCATGAAATATGTCTCGGTGGTTAAAACCCAAAAATTGTACAAGATAAAGCTACAAATTTACAGGTGGTTAAAATCAAATGCCAAACTTATAAGGAAGTTGTAAACATAGATAAATGAAACAGAGATGAATTAAGGAGCAGCTAACTGCCAAAATAATGCGTGTTTAGCGTCCTACTGAACAGGAACATTTCAGCTTCAGCTTTTCGCCGAACACATCTCCATCTTCCATCTTGTAATCTGCTAGAACAATGAAGCAAAGAACATTTATTCTTTAACCGTTTTGGAAAACAAGATTTTGATTGTCTTTGTATTCTCCATTCTTCGTTACCGAATGCAAATAACCCTCATTTGGTTCATCACCCTGAGTTAAGCGTTACGATATCGTCTTATCTTGTTCATTCACTATCTATTCGCTGTAGATGTGGACAATAAATATTAGGTATAATGACCATTCTTTTCTGAGTTAACGCGTCTTTTAAGTGTTGTTTCTTGGTCAACATTACACCACATCAGCAAGTAGATATGTTCAAGTATATGAATGGAAAAATGTATGCTTTTTACTTGTGTCGAATGAGACAATAATCCGAAATACATTAAACAGCATCGACTTTAGTTTGAAGCGCGTTGGTTTTGCTTAGTAAGCAACAACTTTGTCTACTTTTTTCTCATGGGCGAAAGATATGTTGCTTTGTATCCAACGCACCTAATCCTAAATGCTACCTCCAACTATAATCAGCGACTGTTAATAATAATTAGGAATAGCCAAACCATGCATATGGGGAGGTTCCGACGAAATGCAACAGACTACTCCCTAGCCAAAGCTTACATAAACTGTCTGTGGGAAACCTGGGATAGAAAGGGGTCTTCCGTTGGCTCTAGTCCAACTGATCTTCGGTTGCGGAGAGCCCTGGGCTGTACAATTCAATGTAAGTGATTCGCCCTCCGTAACGATTTGCGAGGTCAAACCGGGTAGTATTTCTGGTGCTCTTTTGACTATTATTTGACCGAAGGCTGTTGGCCACTGGTCTCTTGGTGTGGTAGCTGAGTATAAAGAAAATATAAATAATTCTGAAAGTAAGTTCAAGCGTTAAGCGATACTAACTTGTATTTTCCAAAAGATCAAACGTTCTGTTCTTCAAAGTGAACAACCTGGAGGGTTATTATTTAGTAAGATCACGAAGCGAAGTAGTCCAGTGAATTTATTGAGCGATAATCAATAGATCATCCATACAGGCGAACGGAACCGGTAAACATGAACATTTATGACAATAGCATTCCAACATCGAATGATCGGTGTTGTGAAAATCTTGCAGCGACTGCAACCATGTCCATTGTATTTTCTTTTCTCCCATTTAACTCAGTAGCGGTTAATGAGCAATCGCAGTGTCATTAACATGGGGTGGATGTGCATTTCGCAAATATTCACAACTATAATCACTGTCATTAAGAGTGTTTTAACAACTGCACCAAAGGGATTATTTCCAAAATTTGATTTTCCCACCAGCAGCGTAAGACAAAGTGGTATACAGCGCCTTTCATACGGCTGGTAGTTAAAAGAGTAACAACATTTACGCAGCAAGTGGTTGTGGTCAAGGAACGTAACAATCCCTAATTGAATATTATGAGTTGCAAACATTTGTTTTAATCGTAGGCGCTAAACCGTAGCGCCATCGACAAGAAAATATTCACTTTCTTTTTAAGCCTATTTTCTTTTTGTGGTCTAGGCAGTAGATAGAATCTACCATACCATGTAACTGTTGATGCACAAAAGTTTTGCTTATGTGTTTTGGTCCAAACGGTGAACTAGAGTAATGCATTGGGTGTAGAATCAAACAAACGTCATGACGGCCCTACTGGCATGTAATAAAAACCGACACAAACAAGTCAAAATGATGACGACTTACTTGTTGTAAACCACGTCTGCACATGACCAGCTGAGACGTAAAAGTGCGGACGAAATCTTTCGAGGGGTCACTCCGCATGAAAACAGGTTCCAAGAAGAAGGTTCCATGGATGACCGTATTACTTTGCTTGCACTGCTCTCTATACCCGCACTTATTCTTACTCGCTAACTCATTCTTCTGCTACTTTTGAACGACAGAATACACCGAACGCTCTATAAAGACCATTGAAAAACTCGAAAAATTGCCCAACTTTTCGATTGCGTTGTACAAAATGATCAAGCCACGAAATTGATCTGTGTCACGCAAAGTCGAGAAACATGCCACTTATTTATTTAGTTAAATTGCTGTATGCACTTTGCGTGAAAAATCCACGAGAATTTTCTCTGGAAACAGTTGCAGTGAGTCTGGATGAAAATGTTTTCCATATATGTAATGTCGATAATTTTGGTAGGATGGGTTCTGCAGAGAAGGCACTCCGTTCCTTTAGCAGAGACATATATTAACTCCGACTTCAATCAACTAGGTACATGCTGGCTCATTAAGCACTAGTTTGGGATATTCTGTTAGGAAGGTTCCGTTCGGGTCTAGTGGAAAACAACCTACCCTGTTTGTTACGGGGTTAGGAGCTCATAATTGATTGAAGTATTGCGCAATCTAGCAGTAAAGTAGAAGTCTATCTAAATCAACAAGGTAGTGTAGATGAAATTAGTGGGCCGTAAGTAAACATATGATTACTGAGTTTGCAACAAAATGTATTTCAGAGATAAGAATAGAGGAAACGGATTGCCTAGCATCAGGTTGGACAGTCAACCTGTGAAACATTTGTATCTTTGTTTTAAACATTTTCTGACAAATCCCGCACTCATAAGGAGATAGCTGTCACTAGGTTTTAAAAGTATGTCACCACTCTGCTGAGTGCCTACTCTGGCCCTCATGCTAGCCCGACAATGCATAATTAACCTAAACATGTTTCCGGCAGCCAGTAATACGTAATAGTTGTTGATGTTCATGTGAAGGCATTCGAACATAAACACCATAAACGGACATGCGAGAACATAAATGTTCCATCTTATGGATACTGCGAGAGTAAATGGTTAGAACAGAGCCCAAGTAAGTAATTGAGGACCACACTTCTGTTGCGTTCTAGCGCTGCAATGTAGGCTACGTACAACACTATCAGTGACAGGTTTGTGCATTGCAAAGCACTGATTGCAAACAATTCAGGTGGAGTGTCGACGCAAAAGTTGTTGGCTTGATCCCCAAATCAGGCTAATTCTAAATGAATGCTTTAAAGGATGAAGAAATTGTCCATGAAGTACAGCATAGGGAAACGATTAGCAAGAAACTCCGCTACCCATTGGTTTAAATATACGATAGATGGATGATTCCGAATTGCGGTATGGAGTAGAAATACACTTGCCAGGAAATTGATTTTCTTAGACATTGTTACAACATCCTTCTAGCAGGTAAGAATTACTTTGACCCAACAATACTTTTCAGGTCTTCGGAAACTAGAGGGCATTTCCCGAGAGCAACACGAAGTTTTTCGTCCTGGCCGAGGTTGCATCGACCAAATCAACGACCTCCGTCATCTTCTTGAACTGCGTCACGTCCACCAATGGCCAACAATCGTGGTGCTCTTGGACATCACAGCGGCATTCGAATCAATAGATAGATCTGCGTTTTGGAACTGTCCACTAAGGTAAGTTGTGACAGACAATTTGTAACCACCCAGAACGATCTCTACAGTCATACGTCAGGCAAAGCCAGAGCTCACAGCATGCCTTCCTCTCTATTTTATGTCACTGGCGGCGTACGCTAAGGTTACCCTATTTCACCTTTCCACTACAACGAGCATTGAGAAACCCTCACAACTGCGGTATTGAGCTTCTTCCAGGTGAAAGTCGTGGTCTTGGACCACGCCGATGATATTGCTTTGCTAGGGTACGATCAACAAGCCATCAAGAGCACTCTGAAACGGTTAGGGATGGAGGCATATGTAATTCACCCCAGGCAAGCATAAAGTGCTACTTCATGATTGGCAGATGCCTTTGCCTACCATCGCCATTGCTAGTGACCTCCTGGAATAAGTCCCCTACGTTACTTATCTAGGGAGTTGCATCATAGCTGGTGGAGATGTTGGAGATGAGGCCGCACAAGCGATCTCAAGGGCCCGCCCAGGATTCAGCAGACTGAGACATTTATGGCGCCGTCGCGACCTCAGTGTCAAACGCAAGGGCAGGGGACACATTACATCTGTCCGTGCGGTCCTCTTGTAAGAAAGTGAGACCTGGTCTACTCTCTCGGAAGATAGGAGATACTGGTCATTTTTTGACCACCGTTGTCTGCGTAAGATTGCTTGCGTGTGGTGCTAGCATCACGTAAGCAAAAAGGAGGTCCGATTTGCAGTGCTTTGGGAGAACAGCCCATGCATCCAAAACGTGAACCTCCGACACCGCATACGTCGGTTTGTCCCGGTGGTACGCATCCCAGCTTATCCCTTTCCCCATCGAGCGATATTTGCGCTCTATGGAAGTGGTTGAAAAAAGTGCCGTGGGGGGACAACCAATGACGTGAAGTAGGAGCATAAAGAAGGCAACCGCAAGCTTAGCATCCGTCTGGCCGGTCAGCATCCCAGGATGGGGCCCACGCGATTCAGGCTGCCATTAGTCAGAAAATCTGCAGGTTATGTCACGTAAAAGACATCAGTAGCGACAATGTAGTTCTACCGCACTACCTGTAAGTTAATATCTAATCGAACATAAAAGACAAACACAAAATCTCAAAACGGCGTGTGTAAAGCTAAAAGAGTTGTTTTCTCATGATGTATTTGCTTGTCCCCTATTTTTACCAATGTTCTGATAGCACCTTGTCTGCAAGCAGACTGAATATATATATATATATATATATATATATATATATATATATATGCTTGGCGGCATCCGGTTTCGGATTTGCCTGTGAATGTAGCCAACCACAGGACGCCTGTGCCTACAGAGGAGCCATGGGTGGCTTGCGCTGCACCAACCACAACTCCATCCACACACCCCATATCCAGTGTAAACCCGAAGGAATAAGACCGGGAGGCACGTGGATGGGAGTCACGTTTCATCAACGGAGCCAGCAAACGCTCCTTCACAGGCAAAAACGAGCACGCTGTATTTGAGAAATCAAGCGCACACAAGGCGGTGGTTGGACCGCAGTTCGCTGCACACTGAGTGCATGGAACCATTCTTCGAGCCTAACACGACCACAAGGACCGTGCACCCCGTCCCCTCCAGCAACGATTTACTGTCTCCTGGAGCCAGTATGGACGAGGTAGTGGGTAATAGACAGGTAGGCACCTTGTCAACATGCACATCAAGCGCAGCCACACCGGGGATATTAAGCAACAGCCAATCACTTGAGAGAAAGATAACCAAGAAAATAAATCGAGTAACGCATTAAGAAACGGTGACATAACTCTTAAATTAGTGAGCATATGAAATAAGTTGTTTACCAACGAATACGAGGTAAGTTCACGAGGTCAGGAAGTTTATTTTACGGAAATGCTACAAACATGAAAAAGTTATCGAAATAACTACAAGTGTCTTAAGCGACTTGTGTACAGGTATAGAAGAGAGTATAAGTAGGCATTTATATGGGGAAAAAGGCATTAGGACAAAATTGAAAACCCACCATCTGAAATAAAGAGACTTAGCATGCAAGCACGCTGTTAGTAAATCGAATGCAGCGTACCTACAAACGCTGTGCCGGTTCTGCCTACGTTCTCTGCAGCACCCGTCGTCGCTTCGGTAGTGGTCCCGAGTGGCCTCGCTCATGGCTCACTAGGCCTGCCTGACTCAGGCACTCGCGACCGCATGTGCTACAGCCCCATGCGCTCGATGTCGATGGAGTACAACCCATCGGTGCATGCCTCTTCCGCAATTGCCGCTTCTTCTCTGCATGTATGAGGTCTTTTTTCCGCACTTCGGCAACTGCCTTCGTGATTAGATCGCGCCATGCACGCCGATCAACCGCCTTTGATTCCCATGACCTGCAATCAAGATTAGAACGTGTGAGGCTCACTTTGATCATGTCCTGGTAACGTAACTTTGGTTTCCCAACATGCCGCTTCCATATACTCAGCTGACCGTATAAGAGTTGTTTCGGTATCCGCGTTGAATCCATACGGCTCACATGACCGAGCCACCTCAGGTGTCTCAGTAAAAGTATGCAGTCCACTGCATACATCCCACTTTGTCGCAACACTTCCGTGTCAGCAACTCTGTCGCCCCAACTGATGCGCAAAATTCGTCGCAGACACTGCTGATGGAACCGCTCGAGATATCGCACATCCCGCCGGTACATCGTCCACGTTTCACTGCCGTATAGAAGAACGGACAGCACCATGGATTTGTACACCATCAGCTTCGTGCCAAGGGTAAGCTGATGGTTGTTCCACACTCGGTACTCTAGCTTCCCGAATGCCGCCGCTGCCTTCGACACGCGGATACGCAGCTCACTGTGTAGCTGCTGATCAGTCGACATCACACTCCCAAGGTAGCAGAAGCGGGAGGTGGTTTCCAATACTTCAGCACCAATGCTGATTCGCGGCAATATTGAAGATTGCACCTCCGGTGAAGGCTGAAAGAGACAGACAGTTTTGCTTGTGTTGATGGTGAGCCCGAATTTGGCCGCTGTCGAAGCCAGAGCACTAGTCATGTGCTGCAACTCATCCGCGCTGTGTGCAAACAACGCACAGTCGTCAGCAAACAGCAACATACGGATAGTTGTCTCACAGACTAGAGTTCTCGCACCGAAACGACGGATGTTCAGCAAGCCACCATCAATACGGTGCTCCACACGAACACCGTAAGCACAAGCCGCATCAAAAGCACAAGACAACATTGCATGAAGATATATATTAAACAGGGCAGGAGCTAAGACACAGCCTTGCTTCACACCAGAGACAACTGCAAAGTCATCCGAGGTCTCTCCACTCAGCTGCACCCTCGCTCGCATACCACTGTGCAGACATTCAATTAAACTTACAAACTTACGCGGGCAACCAAACTTACCCAACACCAGCCACAATGCCTCGCGCTTCACCGTATCAAATGCCTTGGTGAAATCAACAAAAAGCGAGTACAATGGCTGGTGTCGTTCTCTGCACTTCTCCTGCAACTAACGAGCCGCAAACACCATATCTATAGTGCTGCGACCCGAACGGAATCCACATTGCTCTTCCGCCACGTTAGGTTCCACAACCTGACTGACGAGGCGGTTGAGCAGGATTCGGGCAATCACCTTGCCCACACAACTCAGCAAGTTGATGCCACGATAATTCGTGCAACATTGCTTGCTCCATTTGCCCTTGTACAGTGGTAGCACAAGGGCATCCTTCAGCTCAGGAGGCACCACCTCCACAATCCGTACGCGTTGCACCAATTGGTGCAGCGCAGTCAACAACGCGGGTCCGCCGTGTTTCAATACTTCAGGCGGGATCCCGTCGGCCCCAGCACACTTGCCGTTTCGCAGCTGAGCAAGTGCCTCTGCGTCTCATCCAGTGTCGGCGTGTCCGCCAGACTCGCCTTCACATCGTGCTGCTTGAGGCCATTCAATGTAGGCCAGTCGATCTCTGAACGGTTGTTCAAGAGACAGTCAAAGTGATTTCGCCAGATCTGCATTATGTCTGCAGTCTGTGTGCAGGTAGTGCCTAAACTACCATCGATCAGTGTCCTCAGCGGCTCCAATCTTGGTTCATACACCGCCTTCAAGGAGTCAAAGAATTCCTTTTGTTGGCGGCGTTCGGCGTAGCATTCCATCTGCTTCGCCTTCTCCGTCCACCATGCATTTTTAATGCGACGGAGCTCTCGGGTCAGTCGCCGTCGAAGTTTGCGAAACTGACTACTCTTCCCCAAGTCACTGGGGTCTGCAACATGTGCAGCAAATGCTGCATTCTTCTCTGACACCAATGCGTCAATCGTCACATTGTTGTCATCAAACCAATCAGGCCGCTTACAGTTTGCGCGCCCGATGGTCTCCTCGGCAGCAGCTGTCACCTGATCGCGAATGTGGTGCCACAGGTCGCCCACTGTGGCTATGCAGTCCACATCACATAGGCGTGCAGCCATCGCCTTCTCCAGCTCAATACGTTTCGCCACAGTACCGAGGGAGAGAATGTTAAATTTACGCCGGTTCACGGCCGGAGTGCAATACATAGATTTACGAAAATATATGTACAGTTTGGTCCGCACCAATTTGTGATCGGTGCCACACTCAGCTCCACGCAGTACACGTGTCATGCGCACTTCACGCATACCACGCTGACGTACGATGACATAGTCGAGCAGGTGAGCGTGACCACTCCGTGGGTGCGTCCAAGTTGCTATATCACTCGCACTCAGTGCAAACCGAGTGTTTGTGCTCGTCAGGCCGTGAGTGGCACACAGTGAGAGCAGCCTGTCACCGTTCGCATTCGCTGAACCAATGCCATGCGGACCGATAACATCTGTCCACACCGATGCATCACGCCCAACGCGCGCGTTGAAATCACCCAGCAGAAATAGTCGGTCGCTCCTCGGCACAGACCGTATCACGGAGGATAGCTGAGTGTAGAACTGATCACGCGTGTCATCAGGATAACACATGGTCGGACCGTATGTGCTTATAAAGGTGGCAAACTTACCTCTTCCGAGTCGTAGGCGAACAGTCATCAGTGGCGCGCTGATGCCTGTTGGTTCACCCACTAGCTGGCCATGGAGGCGATCGGATATTGCAAATCCGACCCCATGATCACGTGGTGCTGAGGCGGCGTTGCCCACCCAGTAGAATGTGTAGCCAGCACCTGCTTCATGCAACTTACCTTGCTCAGCGAGCCGGGTTTCACTGAGCGCTGCAATATCAATGTGGTAGCGCGCCAGTTCCATCGCGACGAGTGCAGTGCGTCGCTATGGGCGCTCGCTGGAGTTCCGGTCCAGTAGTGTGCGCACGTTCCAGCATCCGATGCTGAGTGCTTTGCGCGCAGGCCTACGATTGCATTGGTGGGCAACCGCACGCGAGGTGGTCGTTGTGCTTCGGAGATTTGCTTGAGAGACTGCACTCGGAGCCTTTGGCTCAATAGCCTGAGCCACAAGGCTGTGGGTGGTTTGGAGGTTTGCTGGAGGGACTCCGCCCGGAGCCTTTGGCTCAGTAGCCTGACCCACAAGGCAGTGGGGAGCAGATCCAGCTCGGGAATGTGATTGCAGAGACAGATTGGGATCTGCTTGACGGCCGTCACACGCAGCCTTGGAGGTACTGGAACGATTTATATATATTTTGCGACCGTAGTAGGATACACCTGCGACCACGGCCAGACGCAGGTGGGTTTTGGCGGGTTTGCACCAATTTGACCAGAGGCTGCCTGGCTTGAGGCGGGCAGTAGCAAACCATTGAACACCCGAAGATGCCCTCCCACCGTCAGAGACAATGCGTGGCGCTCGTGCTCTACGCCAATCGAGCTGTGAGCTTATAACCCGTAGACCTGTTGTCTCCCATGGCTAGGTTTTACAGGAAGAGGGCCATCGACCACTTCCTAACCTCTGAAGAGGATGGACTAGGATACTGCCAGGGCGCCCACTCCTGACAGGGGAACGACTCGGGTCCTCAGCCAAAGCCTTCGATTAAATGAACACCCGAAAGGCAGCGGGTCTAGCACATGGTCAGTTCACTGACTCATGCGGATTGGTGTCCTGGATCTTAGCAGGGAGAAAGACGAAACCCAACTCCCACCCAGCGGTCGCCACGAGGCGGCGCCCTCCACATGAGCCAATGGCACAACAGTAGCAGCAGGGGTAGACCACCTGTCAGGATCTAGCCACCACCAGCCTCAGCGCACCATAGGCTCTCCCGCCTATTATATATATATATATATATATATATATATATATATATATACCTTTCAGAGACGATATCTACTAATTTAAGCAGTGTCCTCAAGACAGTTGGTTCTAAGGTATACAAAAAGAAGCGACTCCAATGTTCACAACGGAGATTAATAGAAGCTGATTTATGACTTACGTAATTCGATTACGCACTTAAACATTGTGTTGGCATCGTTTATGTCCACGAAGCGGACAATCAATTGGTAGGTGCGCAATTTGGTTAGATCCACGCCAGCCATATCTGGAGCATATCCAGGCCTACCTGGAAGGAAACGCACGGCATACTTTCGAACACCGTGAGGTCCAAGGCGAACCGGCTCTTTCAAGGTTGTTCCAGAAGCGATCTGCTGGCGATCTAGGGTGCGGTACCAACTGATTTGCTAAAATAACAAATGTTACATAAAATACTACTGACAACATAGTGTACTCGGAACTGTCATAGGAACAAAACAACCAAAAACTGAATACATCCGAAGCGGTATATGTCAACAGTTTTGACACTGGGCTGAATCAACAAACTCTCACAACCTTAGGAAAGTGAACTACTCCCACATGTGTATACAATGGGAAGACAGATGTGTTTGAAAACAATCGAAAAGACAAAGTGGTCCAGCTGGATTGTGGTGGCAAAGGTGCACATAATTATTTTGAAATTTGTGTTTGAGGTAATACATAGACCCGATTTCGGTTACCGACTTAAGGGTAGGATTAGATTATCCGCACTCATTTGTGCATACAGGAAGAGACGCATTCGTTTCCCAAGCTTCAATTCAAGTCAAATACTGCTTTATGCACCTTTAGCGGGCCTTCATATTTCACTGGTGCTGTTGTGATTCCAATATTGTTCTACGCTAATCACTGCGGCTATTTTCGCCCACTTGTTACTACAACTTATTTTCCATTTGTTTGAGTGAGCCAATTTATGGTCAGCAACGTTGACATACTCTGCTGACCAATTACTTTCACTCCGAGAAATTCACCACTAATTAACTATGGCCATAAAATCAGAAATACGTTCAAAAGAATTGTTCAGCATAAGTTGGAGGTAAAGAAAAAGCACCGTGTTGGTTGGAAAGCTGGACTCAGACATCGTCCTAGCAACAATTCACAAATTCCGCTTATGCTGTCCAGTAATGTCCAAGCGGTTCTCGGGAAAGCTGATGATCTTGGCAGCCTTTTACATGGAACAGAAATTTCCAACACAACTTTTATGATGTCACAGAAAGCTTGGCTACATCTCGACACTGAAGATAAAGTAGTGAAACTCGATGGTTATCGACACATTAGCTCCGACCGCCCAGGAAAGCCTCACCAACGCGGGAATGTGTGATCACGTGCATTAACGAAGAATGGTGCACATCGATTTCACAGCTGTCCACCTACTCAACTGTTTCAATGTTTCCACCTATTTCAATGTAAACCAAAGTTCCTTAGTGCTTTTCTATCTGTAGTAGTTGGGAACGTGTATATAACGCCTAACGCAGTACTGTCAGAGATAAAAAGATTTGCACATCACCTTGCCTCGGAATTACAACCGAAATTAGAATGCTGCTTCTGCGTCATTGCTGGTGACTTCGATAGAAGTGACACAGACGTTATTAAAGTACTGGGTCTAATCAACTTGATAGAATTTCCCAACAGACTGGACATACATTTGGACTTAGCTCTTACTAACAAACAACCTGTTTTCTACACAAATACGCGTCCCGCTTCGCAATTCGGACCATCGCATCGTGAGGTTATGCCCAAAGATTTGCTGTAAGACCAATTATGTTGCGATGACAAGGCCATTCAGAACTGTTAGGCGCCAAAACTGTTCAGCCACAAACATTGCAAAGCTCAAATCAACGCTAACTTCAACCGCCTTCTCAAGCTTGGCCAATGATGATCCCCGATTTCAGTTTCTAATCGTGTAGTGCACAAAAACGCTATGGTCCTTAGCACCGTGTTTTAAGTGAATCCAAAGGTAACTGCTCTAACTGAGAACTTCTCTTTCAAAATAAAAAATAATCGAGCTCGTCTGTCAAAGCAAATACGCGATATGTAAAAAAGGTTTGTAGTCTTCCTTTTCAGATACTTAGTAAATGTGGTGGAAATCCGTTACGAGTAGACCGATAGTAAGATATGTATTTTTCTCAGCACGAAGAAGCACCTGGAGCACAAAATAAACAGATTTTATTCTAAACCTACCAAATTACAACCTGATCACCTTTAATGGAGCCCCTAATAGCGACGGTAGGACAATCATTAGCTACAGAAGTGACGCCTAACTAACAACCTCGGTTTCCAAAGCGCAATTTGAAGAGCTCTCAAAATAATTGCTACCGGTTTCTCCATACCTCAAACGAACCTTATTGAGCACTTTAAGGTGATGAGCAACCCATTTAACCAGCTTATGAGTAGAAGGATTTTGATGAGTAGTGTTGTTCGTCGCAAACAGCCGACAATTCAGATAAGTCAACTACCTACCCGGAAAAGCACCAGACGGCCGTTTCGCCCTGTTGGGGCTTATCAGTGGTGCGCATCCTTCGGTTTTCTAGGGAGGCTCGAACCCATAACTGCAAGTAGCCTGAGCCAAGTAGCCCGCAGCTTATGCAACTGCGCCATGGAGGACGGTAGCCGCCCATCATGAACTGTTAGCTAACTGCGATATAGCTCGACACATCCTCCGCTGCCATGCAGGCACCGGCCATGCAGATGACAGCGGTTGACCTTCCGGCGTCAAGACTTCCTGTTTACGGCAGCTATGAATCGACATAGCATGTATAGAATCCGTAAGGGCGAATTGATATTTTGATGAGTACTTTTGTTCGTCGCAATCAGCCGACAATTCAGATAAGTCAACTACCTACCCGAAAAAGCCCCAGACGGCCGTTTCGCCCTGTTGGGGCTCGTCAGTGGTGCGCATCCTTCGATCCTCTGCGACTACCGACCTCCATGGCGCAGTTGCATAAGCTGCGGGTTAGTTGGCGTAAGCCACTAGCAGTCATGGGTTCGATCCTCCGCAGAGGACCGAAGGATGCGCACCACTGACGAGCCCCAACAGGGCGAAACGGCCGTCTGGTGCTTTTCCGAGTAGGTAGTTGACTTATCTGAATTGTCGGCTGATTGCGACGAACAAAATACATTTAACTAACTATTTATCAGCGTGCACCTTGAACAATAAGCTTACTGAAAGATGTAAAACTAAAACAATTGTATGTGTGTGACAGGAGACGCCATGGATACTGTTTGGACAATACGCTTAATTCCAGCAGATCACCACAAGACCCAACAAGAAAATCCAATAACAACCGAAACAAGTTCAGCTGTTCATCCCTTTGTTTTCGTGTCGCTAACAGGATGCAGTACTTTAGTCAGGACGCGCGTGTGTGTGGGTTAACAACAGAGTTTGAACATACGTCAAGGAAATATAATGTTCAAGCTGCATAATGTGCCGATATAAGGTAAGTGACAGTCGTATGAGAATTAGTACTAGTAAGGTAAACGATTGTTTTACCGTAGATTTCGCAGACCGATTCGCATGGTTTCAAGACATTGCCAGTAAACTGCGTCAGCCTATGCGAAATCGATGCATAGAGAACTTGTTACAGTTTTAATAAAAGAAGTTAGTATTCAAAAAGCATGTAAAGCAGATTGATCCCGGCTGCATATTGTAATCGCTGTTGATGGAACGTAGAACCAGCAGTACAATAACTTCACGGTAACGAACGGTGTGGTTACCAAACAACAAGTCAAAGCAAGACAGCCGACGATATATGATAACTTGAGTGAGTGCATCAAACCGTCCGCCTCACATGATCGGCGGACTCACACACAAGAACCACAGTAGAGCAGTGGGTGAGTGTGAAGTTCACGGTCAGAGGCGCAGGACTACGTTGCACATGTAAGATACTGGATCGCTTGGCGTAGTAGTACACTTGACTACTCTTGAGCAGGCAAAGTTTTCTGGGTTGCTCTCTCTCTCTCAGCCCTGCAATCTAAGAGACGTTTCGACCTTGTTTGGACTTATCAGGTAGAGGTGGCCTGGACTGGGATTAGAGCTCGGCACATATTGGTTGGCGACTACCGCCATGATCACTAGGCCTTTGGGCTCCTAAAGCAGCGTTCAGTGCAAATAGAAGTCAGATGTCATGACGCAAAACACACACTTTCAGTGTTGTAATATTGTATTTTACCGTTGTTTCAACCTTCAAAACGTCCACTCGTTTTACTGACGGCATTCCCGTTAACACAAATGGTTTTGGAGAATAACTTGCCGCACCGTTTCTCTCTCTGGTTGATTCGCTTCCTATTTTTGTAGTTTGCACAATGCAATTTGGGTTCAGTCGCCTCTAACTCCTATACTGTCCGGTATTTGACACGTCTCTTACGTGTCATTCATTACCGACTAATATCCCAGGCACCACACAACAATTGGTGACCCCGGTCCAGAACAAGCCGTCTGCCATTTTGAATTTCATGCTGGTGAGCTCGTTCCAGTGATTTGGTGATTCATTACTTGTGGTCATATTGTTGTCTCAACCACCACATTTTTATTCGTTTTTTGCATTGGATGGTATAGAGGATAATCTGTAGTGTTCATTTTTTCATTGTTTGCGCCTTTCTCATTTCGTTTTTCTATGCGCCTTGTACAGTTGTTTTAATTGACCGTATTTTCTTATACGCAATTCTCGACCTCGAACGGCGCGTTCTGCTTTCCTGCGGAGGCGTGTTGCGATTGCTTTGTTTGTGTGCTTAGAAAGTCTGAGCTATGCGGAACCAACATTGGAATATCGTATCAGGGAATGTGCAATCACCACTACTGTAGGTCAGCGTGTTGATAATTTTATCTGGCACTAATCCTTTCCTTCCGGTGGGGTAGTTTAAGACTAGTTTTCAGTCCACTACAAATTGTAGCGCCCAAAAAGATCACTCTTACCTTTCATGTACAATTTACTTGTTGACCGATTGTACATTATTCCTTCTTGTTTTAATCGTCCTTACAACTGGCTAGACACAACTGCCTTGTAAGTTCCCGCGCTCACGTGTACGCTCTCGCCTCGCTTCATCCGTCCGCTTCTTATTGTAGCCCATCGAATACAATCCGCTGTGTCCGACTCCCATTGCCTTCTGATATCCGCGCTTACTTTCGCGCACCTCCTCGGACTAGTATTAACTAGTCCTACAAAATCCATCTCCATACGCGGTTAGCGCCGTAGAGCCTATCCTGGTCAATACAGTTGCGTTAGCCCCTCCACCTTTTAGGAAGAATGACTCGTTGTTATGGTTTGTGCATTTAGAACCACTTTTTACAATTGTGGGATTGCCTCTGCTAATGCTAAATGTCATCAACTTATATCCCGGCTTCCGCAAAGTGCAGCTTCCCAGGTGAGAGACA